CAACTGACTGGAAGGGGTCCATATTTGTCCTTATTCTTAAGAAAGGTGATCCAAAAGAATGTGGAAAGTATCAAATATCATTAATATTTCATGCAAGCAAAATATTGTTGAAGATCAACCAAAAGCAGCTGGAACAGTACAATGACAGGAAACTACAAAAAGTACAAGGTGGTTATAGAAAAGGCCGCAGCACCAGGGAAATCACAGCTGATGTCAGATGGATCTTGGCTGAAAACAGAATATGAAAAGAATGTACATTTGTGTTTTACTGACTGTTGTTGACTGCTGCTGAGTCGAGCACTACTCATAGCAACCCTACGAACAAAAGACCTGAAGCCTTTCTATAAATATCGTCATTTACCAAAGTTTATAGAATTTCCAGAAGCATGCTATTTAGGAAGTGTATGCCACTAAGGCATCTGACTGCATGGATCATAACAAATTATGTCTCGCTTTGACAAGAATGGAAATCCCAGGATATTTAACTGTGTTCACATGGAACCTGTACCTAGACCAAGAAGCAGTTGTGCAAACAGAGCAAGGGAGCACTATATGGTTTAAGGTCAGAAAGGGTATGCATCAGGGTTGTATGTTTTCTCCATACCTATTCTATCTATGCTAAGCAAATAATTCGTGAAGACAGACTCTACAAAAAGGAGTGTAGCATCAGGATTGGAGGAAGAATCAATAGCCTGTGATACGGTGATGACATACTTATTAGATCAATTTTTTTAAAAAAAATTTTAATGACACTACCAAGTGTTGACAAGGATGCAAAGCAGCAGAACTGCAGTTAATGGTGGTGGTACAGCCAAAGAATAAGCTGTCTGAAAAGTAGCCTGTCAGTTTCTTACAAAGTTGGGTATTCACTTTCCATATAATCCAGCAATTCCAGTCTTAAGCATGTACCTAAGAGAAGTAAAATTTTATGTCCACACAAATATTTATAACAGTTTTACTCATTTTCATCAAAAACTAGAATGTTCTTCAACTGGTGAACAGAAAAATTTCTATAGATGACTCAAAAGCACAGGAAATATATAAACTTCTACCACTTAAAAACTCTATCAAGGGGGAGCTCTGGTGGCCTAGTGGCAAGAAGCTGCACTGCAATCCCAGAGGAACACGGTTCGAATCCACCAGACGCTCTGCCGGAGAAGGAGGCACAAGATCCTCCTGTACCAGTCAGATCTGATTTGATGGTACACGCATACAAAATTAAAAAAAAAAAAAACCTCTATCAAAAAATTAGCAAAAGTTTTCCCCAAAGAAGAAATTCAAATGGTCAAGCAGCATAAAAAGATTCCGTATCACTAGTCACTGCTGTCAACAGTTAATTCTGACAAAATGACCAAATGGGACAGAGGAGAACTACTCTTCTAAAGAGTTTCCAAAGCTGTCAATTCTTATAAGAGCTGACTGCCTGCCTTTCTCCCTAAGAACTGGTGGATTTGCTGAGTAACTAATCTAATGCTTAATTAATCCACTGCTGTGCCACCAGGGCTCATTCCAAATACAAATACACAGAGACACACACACACCATACACAAACACAGAGACACAGACACACACACTTTTACTGCTGTGGAGCCAGTTCTGATTCACAGCAATTCTGTCAAATTTCCGGAGCTGCTAATTTTTACAGGAGTAAACCGTCCATCTTTCTCCAGAGGAACTGCTAGTGGTTTTGAACCTCCCTTTCATATCTGGTTACACATTACATAGCCAGAGCTCCTTTGCACTAGCCATTAGGGAGGAGATAAATGAGATAGTGCCTCACCCTAGGAATAGCAGTGATTCAAGGGAGGGGGCAAACAAGCACTGGCAGGGTTGTACAGAAATTTCAACCACTATTGGTGGCAATTTCGAACAGCATGGTCACTATCAAAAAACACTTTTGCAGGGGAGCTCTGGTGGCCTAGTGGCAAGGAACTGCAACTACAATCCCAGAGGTGCACGGTTCGAATCCACCAGATGCTCTGCCGGGGAAGGAGAGACAATCTCCTCCTGTACCAGTCAGATCTGATTTGACGGTACACGCACACAAAAATAAAAAAAAATAAAAGGCATCAATTTAAAAAAAAAAACAAAACACTTTTGCAATCTCTCACAAACTTGCACACAGAATTACCACATGACTCAGTATTCCCAATCCTAGGTACACACTTAGAAGAAGCAACACTGGGAATGCAAAGGGTAATCTGTACACGAAGGTTAATTGCACTTTTCACAATAGCCAAATGTTGGAAACAATGAATACGTTCATCTGATGAATGGATAATTAAAATGTTATACAAAAAGATATGGGTACATGTATGTATATATGTATGTATACATGTATGCGTGTACACATCTCTCTCTCATTATCATTGAGGTGGGACCAACTCATCTCTGACCCTCCACTGATTATCCAAGACTTATCTTTCTCCTCTGGAATCTCTGAGTAGCAATAAAATTACCTACTGCCTATGCTGCCAGAGTTCCTTAAATATGCATGTGTGCATGTATGTGTTTGTACACAGCAACAATGGCTGCAGTACATGAAAAATGTAATCAACATGGAATATAGGCTTCTGCTAACTGGTTTGGTGTATATGTTTATGATCATACACACACACTCTCAATTCCACACAGAAGTCACTCTCAAATGCATTTTATGAAAGAGGTTAAGTGGAAAATGTGTGAAAAAAAAACAGATCCAAAAGGCACCATTCACCTAATTCCATTTAGAGGGCATGCGAAGGAGCCTAGGAAAACTAAAGGCTCGAATTCATTAGCTGCTTTGGGCGGAAAAGACTGGTAAACTCTTCCCAAGAGTTTTAGACTCTGAAAACCTAATGAAGAGTCAGTTATGAATTAACTCCTATCATGCTAGCAGTTGAGTTTTGAGTTAAAACACCCAGTACTGTAGTTAAGGTATTTGGCTGCTAATCAAAGTCAGTGGCTTGAACCATAAGTAAGAAGGAAGATGAAGCAGTTGGCTTCCATAAAGAGTCACAGGCTTGGAAATCTTACAGGCTGTTCTTCGATGTTCTACAGAGTCTTCTCCCTGGAGGCTAGGATTCTGAAGCTCTGTCTCACATACTTTAGGCACGGGGCCAAGAGGAAGCAGTCCTTGGAGAAAGATGTTTGGAAGGGTGGATGGGCAGTATAGGAGATGAAGCCCTGATGAGATGGACTGATAAAATGACTAGAGAAAAGGGATTAGGTCTGAGAGATTAACTCAGGATAGGGCAGGGTTCTGATACTGTACATAAGGTCTCTATGAGTCACAGGCAACTCAACAGCATGTTACAACAACAGGGTCACTATGATACAGGTTGGGCAGTGGGCTTAATTTCAGGTTTTGCTTTCTGGAAAAGTAAAAAAACTGGAGCAATAGTGATCAGCGACTGCAAAAAAAAAAAAAATCTGTAGGGTAAGCTGCACATTACAAAAAGACAGCAGGGGGAATTTTAAGGAACGATGGAATTTTTCGGTGATTTCTGACAGTGAGCATATGATTCTTCCTACTTGTCTAGACACAAGAGTAAATTTCAATAAATGTAAGTTTTAAGTAAATTCGCAAATCACTTTCTACATAAGCTCATCTTCAATTCAGAAGGGCATTTCCATTATGGATCAAAGCCTGTTTCACCCGTTTTTAAGATCTTCTTTTGAGCTTGGTGGAAACAACTTTTATTACGTCTTCTATGCAAAAGGGAAGTAGCACATATTAAATAAGCAAATTTCTGGTATGTAACATCTTTAGTTTTCTTAGTTCAGTCGTCACACGAGGTTTTCACGAATAAAATAAATTACCTATATAAGCCATTTCATAAATCAGGAAAATCAAGACATGTAGAATAAAGTGCAACGTCAAGAAAAGTTGCTTTTTCAAAACGACAGCATATTACACACACACAAAAAAAACCCGAACTTTTACTGGCACGAGATATTTGTTTTATAAAGCAATCTAATGGGTGTCTAAAATAAAAATATAGAAACTGGTCAAAGCACTAAATTGGACTGTAAAGAAAACAGTACACACAAAATAAAAAGTCCCTTTTAGCCATGCGAGTGAGTGTACATTCGGCCTGACTTGGGCTGATGAGTTTCTGCACAGTAGTTGTTCTTGTTGTTATGTGCTGTCCCTATGAATACAAGCTCTGAGCCCTGCCTTGTCCTGAGACAGTCTCATCGAGTCTGAAAACAATCCCATTTCTCCAGTCACTGAGTCAACTGCACGGTCCATCTTTTTAATTCAGAAATTCGCTCAAACTCACAAAATCCTAAAGTCTCATTAAGGAGGCAGGTTCCAAGTGCGGGCTGTGAAATAAAACCTACACCACCCGTCACATGAACGCCGCAGCCGCAGCCGGGGAGTTTCGCTCTGGGGGCGATCGGTCAGAGGAGGCGTCAAGACAGCCCTGGGTCCGGGTGGAGCAGTCCCAAGTCTCCCGGGTCCGGGTAGTGGAGCCCCAAATGCCCGGGGTTAGCCGGGGAGGAGGTGGTGCAGCCCTGAGTGCGCCGGGGTACGGGTAGTGCAGCCCCAAGTGCCCGGCACGTGGAAAACCACCGGCTCAGCCCGAAGCCAGGCGGGGCCGGAAGGAGGGCGTCTGTCACCGCGCGTCGCCTTCACGTGGAGGCAGCGGCGACTCCCTAGGGTCGCGTCACAACCCGGGGAACGACCATGATGAAACCCTCCCACGGGCGTCCCCTCGCCCGGCAGCTGAAATCGGACCACGCGGGTCGGGAGGGGGCCTCGCGGGGATTTGAACTCACGATCCACGGAACCCGCCGCTTGGCTCAGGAAGAGAGGTTCATCCCGCACCCGCCAGGAAACGAAAACTCCCCGGCGGAGACCCGCACCCCGCCGTCCGCTTTATGTAACCTGAGCCCCAAATGACGAGTGGCAGGTGGCAGCGCCCAGTGAGGGGGGCCTGGAGCCCCAAAGCCGGCCTTGGGCAACAAGCGGGCAGAAGGGACATGAGCCTGCGGGGCGGCGGCGCTCTCGTTACCTCCCCAGATGCCCAGAGAGAGCTGGGACGTGTCCAGGTTCACCACATAGTCCCCCAAGAACCGGTTCAACACGTCCACGACCACAGACTCGAACACCATCTTCCTCAGCCGCAGCAGGCCGGGAGGCCGTCCCTGTGCCTTCCCCGGAGAACGCTCGGCCCCACCAGCTACGGGACGGCTCTGCGGTGGCGCCACCACCAGCCTCACGCGCAGGCCGCCGCCAGTCCCGCGAGGGGCGGAGCCGGTCGCGCCCGGCGCATGCGCGGCTCGAAGCCAGCACGGGCGGAACGCGGGCGGAGCTGGGCGTCTGTGTTTGGTCGGCGAAGGTAACCAATGTTCGTTTGGGACCCAAGCAGAGCGATTTGCGCCCGCGTCCCCAGCACATGCCTCCCCACGCTGCAGCCGCACTCCTCTACCCCACCAGCCCCTCCGCCTCCTTTGGGCAACGGGACAGAGGCGAGAAACACAAGATTCTCCCGCCTCGAGCCCCCCCCCACCCCCTCGCTGCCGGCGCGGGAATTGACTGGGGGCGGGGCGACGGTTACGCTCCGATGGGGACGCCCCTCCCCCCAGCTGAGTCGGAGGTCGTGAGGTTCTGGGCTGTAACTTCAGCTAGGACCTGTCTGTCCTGCTGTTGGGTGGGTGAGACGGGTGTCCATTATTATAGGTTCCGAGACAACGCCCTAGTGTCCTGGCCCCGACCTGCCCTGGTGTCCGTCGCCTGTAACTGCCCCACCCTAGTCTGCGATCGCAGCCCAAGGACAGATCCTATGCCCTTGTTGGGGGGGACATGAGTAAACTCAGTGGAAACTTAGGGCGCTTCCCTGCATTTGAGATGGGCGCCCTGCTTGATCAAGGAATTTCATCCCACAGAGTGACACAACGTTTCAATTCCGATTTTTTTTATCAGTCTGTCTAAACGTCCAGAGCCTTCCAGCGACTACCGCGAGGTCGAAACTCACCTCTGAGCATGCACAGTGACTGGCCTACAAAAAAAAACAACCACCTTTGAGCTCTTCAGTGGAAATTGACCCAGAAAGTCTCAGGTCACAGGGAAGAAAGATGTGAGGTAGAGAGAAACCCTGATCATCACTCAGCAATGACTGCATAGAGGTGAACCTTGAACTTTCTGCATGCAGAATAATGGTATTATGTCTGGTGACTTAAATTCCTGAACCACTTTACCACTATTTTGTAGTCACTCAGCCTTTCAAAAAGAAAAAAAATTCATTGTTTGCCCTTGCAAGTGAAATGCCTTCAGGAAAGTGGAAAATCATCTATTTCATTAACTTATGTGAAAGATCTGCACTGGGCCACTTGAAGGAAGCTGAGATGTTAAGCATTATCTTTACCTGTGATCTCTAATTCCAACATACCACCTACTTTTCATTTCTGTCACTTTATTTAAATATTAATAATGTTTCATTTAGTACATAGCTCTGCTAATTGATGTATTTTGTTTATCTGCAACTCATTCATAATATCCTTTATTTCATCTGGCAACCCTAGTTCAGATGCTATAATAGGCTTGAGTCTTCCAGTCTCCACAATCATTGTATTAGATCACTATGCTGCTTGTATTTTGAATGCATTCATTCTCATACTCTATTTTTCTACACTTGAATAACTTGTCAAAATTATGTTTATGTTTCCAATGGCTTTCTATTTTTTTCAGGTACCACAGCAAAGCAAAAGAGTGTGTGTGTGTGTGTGTGTGTGTGTGTGTGTGTGTGTATAAAATGCTACCAATACCAATTAATGGGAAATAGAAGATTAAACACTAAGAATTTTCTAATTGGCCATCGATGTCATAACCAGTCAACTTTAATATATTAGAAGCATAAATATAACCTTTCTTTTTCTCATTTTGTCCTTCACATTTTCCATTCATTACCTTTGCATAGCAAAGTCCTTACACAGTTTTTGCCTGGGTTTGGCGACATGCTCTAAGTATTTCATCTATAAAAGTATAAACCAAGGAGGTACTTTATTTGTACTCAAAATTAACACAACTCAAAGCTGAGCCTTAATTTAGAAATATTAAGAAAACATGTATTCATATGTTGCTCATTTTGTTTAGTTAGGTAATTTTGTAGAAGAAATAAAAAGCCATTTTCCTTATATTTATTTAGCTAATAACATTGGAAATCTACCATGTCATGATGGGGGAAGGGAAGCATGGAAAAAAGAAACTCATGGCGTTTTTATCTTATCATGGCTGCCCAGTCTGAGCCAACTCATAGCTGACCATTAGAGTTTCTGAGGATGTTTTTGATTGGCCATCTTTCTCTCCAGAAGTGACTAGTGGTTTCAAACTACCAGAAAAGTCTTTAGATCAGCAGCGCAACTTCCTACAGACCACACCATCCGAGGTCCTTTCATTTTACTAATGTATTACTTGTAATGATAATAACAAGCTGTATTTTATAGAATTTTGCTGTTCATGCATAAATTCGAAGAACTTCCAGAACTCTTTCCAAAAAACAAATCTTCGGTATCTTGCAAGTAGCTCATACTAGTTTTATACATTCCAGGTGGAATAAAAAGGATTCTGTTGAAAAATGATATGGATAAGCCTTTAATTGCTTAAATGAGCAATGAAATAATTCTGAGAGTGTGAAAAATAAAGTCACAATGCATATTATAACAATTCTCTTCTAGTTTTGGATTGTGTATTAATATAACATGTTTCATAATGACTAATTTGGAAGCAGTAGTGGCATCCACATCCTAAACAACATGCCTCTGGAAACTATGAACTTTGATAAATGATGACAGGTATAGAAAGGCTTCAGGCCTTTTGTTCATAGGGTCGCTATTAGTTGTGCTCAAGTCAACAGCAATCAACAACAACATACAACATAATTACTAAAAGCTAGAATTCCCCACTCAGCACTTCTGTTGCTTAATCAATATGAGGAAGTTTGTAAATAAAAATAGCATGTTAAAGATGTTGTGTTGTGTTTTGTACCATAGAGTCAGAACTGACCTATAGCTGACCCTCTGGCAGGTTTTTTCAGAGACAGTAAATCACATGGGAGGAGATTGCCCATCCTCCCACAGAGCAACTGGTGGCCTTGAACCATGTGCCTTCAGGATAATAGTGTAGCTTCTTGCTATTAGACCACCATTTAAAAAAAAACAGTTTTACCTATTAAATTACTCTTAGACCTTGAAAAGTAAGCCCAGAGACTACCAAAGCACTTGCTTACGATTCAAATTTGGAATAAGTTCATTAATTCACTCTCTATATGCTGCCCTGGATGTACTCACCAGGTTGTACCAAGAAATCTGGAGAACAACCACTTGGCCAACTGACTGGAAGAGATCTATATTCGTTCCCATTCCAAAGAAAGGTGACACAACTGAGTGTGGAAACTACAGTGTCATTGATTTCACATGCAAGTAAGATTCTACTGAATATTATCCAAAAACTATTAGAACAGCACATCAGCAGAGAATTGCCAGAAGCAAGGCTGGGTTTAGAAGGGGTTGTGGTACTAGGGATATTGTTGCTGATGTTAGATGGATCTTAGCTGAAAGTGGAGAATACCAGAAGAATGTCTATCTGTGTTTCATTGATTTTGCAAAGGCATTTGACTGTATGGATCATAACAAACTGTGGCTGACTCTGAGAAGAATGGGAATCCCAGAATATTTAATTGTGCTAATGCAAAACCTATACTTGGACCTAGTGGCAGTAGTCAGAACAGAGCAGGGTAACACTGCATGGTTCAAAATTGGGAAGGGTGTACGCCAGGGATGCATCCTGTTCAACGTGTATGCAGAGCAGATTATCTGAGAGGCTGGGTTCTATGAGGAGAATTGTGACATCAGGATTGGTGGAAGATCTATTAACAATCTGCATTATGCAGATGACACAACCCTGCTTGCTGAAACTGAGGAGGACCTCATGCACTTGCTGCAGAGAGAGGGTCAAGGACTGCAGCCTTCAGTATGGACTGAGACTCAATGTCAAGAAGACAAAGATTCTCACCACTGGACCAATTAGCAGCGTCAGGATGGATGGTGAAGAGATTGAGATTGTTCACAGCTTCAATTTGCTCGGCTCCACAGTCAACACTCTTGGCACCAGCAGTCAGGAAATCGAAAAGCGTATTGCGATGGGAAAGTCTGCTGTTAGGGACCTCTCTAAAGTACTCAAGAGCAATGGTGTCTGGAGACTAAGGTGCACCTGATCAGGCCATGGTCTTTGCAATCACTTGTTATGCATCAGAGAGTTGGACAATGACTAGGGAGGACAGAAGGAGAATTGATGCCTTTGAGCTGTGGTGCTGGAGAAGAGTATTGAATGTACCATGGACTGCCAAGAAAACAAACAGATTCATCCTGGAGAGGGTTAAACCAAGCAACTCCTTGGAGGCAAGGATTCTGGGGCTTCGACTGACATACTTTGGGCATGTTGCCAGGAGGGATGGGTCCTTGGAGAGGGACGTCATGCTTGGGAGGGTGGAAGGACGGCGCAGGAGGGGAAGACCCTCTATGAGATGGATTGATTCGGTGACTGCGGTAATCAGAATGGGTGTGTCAGAGGTAGGATAGAGCAGGGTTTAGGGCTGTTGTGCATAGGGTTGCTATGCATCGCAAACGACTCGACGGCACATAACAACAACATATCATAATTTAAATACAACACTTGGTAGTTTAATCAAATTTTTTTTCCTATTTAAGGATAGTCTAGATGCTCAGTCTAGATGCAGAGCAGATCGTGATGCTGGGCTTTATGAGGAAGAATGTGACATTAGGATTGGAGGAAGACTCATCAACAACTTATGGTATGTAGATGATACAATCTTGCTTGCTGAAACTTAGGAGGACCTGACGCATTTGCTGCAGAAGGTCAAGGACTGTAGTCTTCAATATGGATTGAAGCTCAACATCAAGAAGACAAAGATTCTTACCACTCGGCCAAATGGCAGCACCATGATGGAAAGAGAAAAGATTGAGGTTGTTAACAGTTATAACTTACTCAGCTCCTCAAACAACAGTTTTGGCACTACCAGTCAAGAAATCAAAAGGTGAATTGCATAAGGTAAGTCTGCTGTCAGGGACCTTTCCAGAGTACTGAGAAGCAACAA